CCACGTTGCATTAATACACAACCCAAACCCATCTTTGATGCATTACTATGTACCACAAAATCTTCCATTCCATCTGGCAAAGATAGAATTCGTGCACTGCATAACTTATCCTACAATATTTGAAAAGCCTGAGCTTGTGCTTCATCCCACTCATATTTCACATTCTTCTTAGTCAGCTTCGTTAATGGAGTAGCTATACGAGAGAAATCCTGTATAAACTTACGATGATACCCAGCCAATCCAAGAAAACTTCTGACTTCAGTTGGAGTCTTTGGAGCTTCCCATTTTTCAATGGCTTCAATCTTCAAAGGATCTACCTTGATGCCGTCCTTTGAGATAACATGCCCAAAAACTGAACTTCTCGCAGCAAAAATTCATATTTTGACATCTTGGCATACAATTTCTCTTGTTTCAACAATTCTAGAAGTAATCTCAAATGATGTGCATGTTCTTCTTCCGACCGAGAATATATCAAAATATCATCAATGAAAACAATTACAAATTTATCAAGATAGGGACGACACACCCTATTCATCATGTCCATAAAGGCTGCAGGCGCATTTGTGAGTCCAAATGGCATAACCAGGAATTCATAATGACCATAACGTGTACCGAATGCTGTTTTCGACACTTCTTCATTCCGAATTTTCAATTGATGATAACTAGATCGTAAATTAATCTTTGAAAAGTAAGTAGCCCCAACTAATTGATCAAACAAATCATCAATTCTTGGGACAGGATACTTATTCTTAATTGTCAGTTTATTCAACTCCTGATAGTCAATGCACATCCTCATTGACCCATCCTTCTTTTTCACAAAAAGCACCGGCGCACCCAACGGGGAAGTACTTGGTTGGATAAAACCTTTATCCAACAATTATTTCAATTGGGACATTAACTCCTTTAACTCAGAAGGAGCTAATCTATATGGTGCACGCGCAACAGGTGTTGCTCCAGGAATTAATTCAATCTGAAATTCTATCATTCGGTCTAGAGGTAAACTTATTAAATCTTCTGGAAATACTTCAGRAAATTCCCTTACGACTGGAATGTCTTCCATCTTTCCCTTCTCTTTCTTCATATCTATAGCATATGCAAGAAAACTAACACATCCCTTCTGTACATACTTCCTAGCCTTTAGAATTGAAATGAGGCTAGAGTAACGATCCCGCCGATCTCCATAAATCACAACACTTCCTTTTTCGGGTAAGTCTATATGAATCATCTTTTCATTACAGACTATGTTGGCTTGGTTTTCAGCTAACAAATCCATGCCTATAATTATATCAAATTCCCTTAAAGGCAAAGGAAATAACTGTATAGGCACTTCACACCCTTCTATACTTATGAAGCATTCATCTATCTTTTCCTTAATTGAAACTTCACTATCGTTTGTTGTTTCCACAATTAGATCCTCACTTAACGCTTTAGATTCTAAATGTGCGCAGTTAACAAACGATGGTGACATAAAATAACGATTTGCGCCCGAATCAAATAAAACTTTGACACATACTGAATTAACGAGGAATGTACCTGTTACCACTTCAGGGTGCTCTTCCGCCTCGCCTCTCGTCATCTGAAAGGCTCTCCCTTTTGCATTAGACTCTGCCTGTCTTTTCCCTCCCCGTCCACTTGGACTAACACGATTATCCATTTGCCCATGACCTGTTGGCACATACCCAGATCCTCGACCCCCAGAATATCCAGATCCCCGACCTCCAACAAAACCAAACCCTCAACTCTTTGCTTGCGGACAATCGGCATTTACATGTTGAGATGAATTACAAGTAAAACACCTCCGCGTCATCCGACAGTCTCGGGCTATATGTCCTGGTTCCTGACATTTAAAGCATAATCGAAATTCTGTATTGCAATTTCCCTGATTTATCTTATGACATCGGTTACACGCCCTTTCAGGAAATCTTGAGACTGGCCGATTCAAATTTTCCATAAACCTCAATATACGGAAATCAGTTAATGTAGCTTCCCCCTTTCTTTTCTCTCCAACCTTTTCTTGTGGTTGTCGGTTAATGTCTTGTTCTAGAATTTCAGTTGCATCAACTGCCGCTTGAAATGTTGTCGGATTCCTGGATATTACATATTTCCGAAGATTCGACTCCAATCGCCATATATACTTTCTCACCCTACTATTTTCAGATATTATATAGGCTTCAGCAAACCTAGATTGTTCCATGAAAACTTTTGTATACTGGCGGACTGACATGTTTCCTTGCGCAAGATGAAGGAAATCATCTTCCAACTTTCTTACTGCAGCTTCAGGACAATACTGCATTATAAACTTAACCACAAATTCTTCCCAAATCATTGTTTTCAAAATGTTCGGATCCGAACTGGACAAGACTTCCCACCAGTATAAAGCACTTGATCTCAGACGTGACACAACAAACCTAACTCTATCCTCTTCTGCACTTTTACTGATTTGTAGACTCAGTTCTATCTTCTTAAGCCAACACATAGCTTTAACAGGATCACGCTCACCAGAAAACTTGGGAGGTTTACAAGCAAGAAACATTTGATATCTCCTCCTTTTTGTACTGATGATGAAGTAAGGGGTATAGATATACCAGTTACCGGTGTACTAGCTCCGGCTTCCTCCTGATAATCAGGATTTCATACCACTTATGGATTATTTTGGGTTGTACGCCCCAACAAATTCACCAAACTTTCTTGGAACTTTCCCAACTCTGCTGCCAACATTTCTTGGGTATTAAACCCGGGATCAGGAACATTGTGTCCACCCCTTGCCCTTCCTCTTCCATGACCGGACATTGAACTTTCTTGAGCCGACAGTTCCTGTTCTTGTCTAGTACTTCTACCTCTTCCTCGACCTCTGCTACGACTTCGCATTTCTATTGTCATCACATTTTCCGGTTCCTCTCCTTGTCTTACATTTCTTCTTCCCCGACCTCTTCCATAACCAGTAGAGGTCCTTTCTGATTGATTGGGATTATCTGCCATTTCTTAGTATATGACTTTTTCTGTCACATTTAAACATACATGATTATTTTCATAATCAGAACATAATAACACATTTATCCTCATGTCTATTCATAACTCAGATTATATCAATCATATATAATCTATCTTTCTCATAATAGGTTTAGCTATAACATATTCCCATGTTCATAGACCCTATGAAACCTATTACCATAACTTTCCACACCTCTGTTTAAGTCTAAGTATTTCGCAAATACCCAGATCCCTTAAACTAAGGCTCTGATACCAACTGTAACAACCCACATAATCCATGTACAGATAATCCACATCATCATACTCATAACATAAAATGTTCCATTGTTTACATAATACAGATTAACAAAATAAAAACTTTCTTAAAGTACTATATGTCATTTATTCTAAACTTTTCCCTTGCCTTTATCTTGCGAGGTATGATGACCTACAAAACAGGTTAGTTCAACAACTGAACATTAGACCAAAAAGGTCTAGTGAGTGTATAATTCTCAAACAAACAACATACTGTCCAAACAATCAGTTCAGAATCAAACCTGTTCTGATACATAAA